ACATATATATAGAGCTGAAATAGAGAGCTGTTCAAATATTTCCATTAAAGCGCGGAGAGCATTTTTTATCAACAGTATTTATTGTACAATAGGATAGTTTCGAATATTTAAATTCACATTGACCATCGTATTATAAAAAGTCATCAAAAGAAAAACCGGGTCGTCAACGCGGGTCTAGGTCAAGCAGCAATCAGCAATACATTAACCAATGGACAACAATTATCTGTTATCGTCCCGTTCAGTTCCTGCCAACTTTGCCTATACGGTTGCGTTTGTCGGTCTTCCCGCTGCTGCGGGGTTATAGACCTCCTCATCGGGTTAGCTTTCATTTCTCCTGGCCACTTTCCTGGTCATCGCTGTACGACCGAGCCCACTCGTTGTGTAGGCGCCTTAAAAACCGCCACGTGATGTACTGTCACCGTTGTTCGAGCATTATTTCAGAACTCACACCGTATTGATCGTCTCACCCGCCCTCTTCTCCTTGAACTCCGCTTAAAACAGAGTGACGGGGAACTTACTGGTATAAACAGGTTTGTATGGCTTGCCGACCGACCGACCGACCGACCGACTGCTGCTGATAAAAAATCGTGCAAAAACATTTCGTAGAGTGTCGAAATGTCAGACACAGATCTATCCTAAATAGAATTAGTAGTGAAAGATATGGCCAAGAAAAGCTTAACTCTTTAATTGTATTGGCTTTTAAAGACGATTTCTTGCCGTAGGCGACTGCTTCGTACACAATATGATGCTGTTGCCTCAGGAGCTTTGGCTACCAACACGGTAAGCCGTTGAGTTAATCTAGCAAATCAGCTATTTACGTATGTTTCAAAATAGATTTCTCTATATCGTATGTGTTGTCATACATTATACGTCGCGCATTATAAAATACATTGTACGTCCATACCCAAAACACACTGTAATATTTTGTACATAATTAGTAGATGCGACAGGAACATATTTTCAAATACACGTAGGTTTATCCGAAATTTTTAGGTGTTCTGCGCTGCCACCAGTCCTTCTAGAATAGTCCATAGCGTCACCTGCAGTTGCGTCATTCATTACGCGTAGATATAGCTGCAAAGTATGCCTGAACAGGAGCCTGTGAAGCGAAAGGCCACCTCATACGTAGCCGATGTCTGTTACACTTCAGGACCCAACTACCTAACTGGCAAGACTACTACTAGCCCCTCTCTCTATTTCAAAGCAATACATTACGAAACGGCGTTTACTACCCTGAGTCAGCCGACAAAAATAATAATAATAATAATAGCATTAACACAAACATACAATAAAGTACGGTAAAATTTTCCACCAGATGCTGAGAATTACTCATACTACGTACACATTCCCTTTACATTGGTCCTTCTAGAGCTAACCTGATTTTACACTCAACAAAGCTCTGTCGGAGTATAACATCTCTTTAGATGGAGCAATATCTTACAAATCATCTACATTCGATCATTTTAATCGATTTTTTTTTCCCTAATTCTATCATCTGTTCAACTATTTGCTGCTATGTGCGTGATAAGACTATGATGACACGTAGGTCAGAACACTATGCCTTTGTAGCTCTTCGCATAGTTCTATTGCGTTTACGTTTAAGCATTTAAAAGGCACTCGTAAACAGAGACATGGACGTTAGTCCTGCTGACTCTTCACAATCTTGCCAATGATGCGATGAGTGAGAAAATGCAAAAACTACGGGATAAAATCTGCAATGAAGTAGGAATGACCGTTATGAGCAGTATAACAAAATAAAAAAAAAACACTTATTAAACTATTGCTTTAAATAGATATAAACAAATATTTATAGATCAACAGAAAAAAAAACACAAAACCATCAAAGTATTAGCAAAGGTTACCGAAATCGAACTTTACAAATATAACATGCAGAGAGATAGTTATGTGCGTCTGCTTCATGACTTCCATTGAGTTATTGATTAGATAATTGAAGCCGTACTAATGCCATGATCGGTGTCAGTGTTGCCACAACCCAAATGATCTGCGTACTAAAATAAACTATCTGTCATAGATTTTTTTTTTGAGTTAATTCATTTCTTGTATAAAGGAGGTGCAATTGGATCATATTGAACGTTATAGGTCGCACTCAAAATTGTCATGCAAACATCATGACAAGTATGCGCGGTATTACCGGTGCCTTTACACACACTTCATTACTTATCCGTTTGTTTCTATATATATAATGCATAATCATACAGTAGATCCACACGCTTACTGGCAACATCTGGTACTGCTTCCACAACGAAGGTATACCATGGACGGCCAACGTAAAGTATCCACTGCTGGCATGCCTCTCCTTTTGCTATCGTTGAGGCGGGCAGCGTTACCTTTCCCCTGAGCCATCTAAGCGGTGCGCTGATTAACCTAATCAAAGAGCCGTAATCGTGCGGTGCTTGCCCCATAGCGGTTGCTGATATGCCTACTTATCGTGACGAGGAGTGCGGCCTAGGCGCCCCCAAGCTTCACACTCTATATAGAGTTCAAACCTGTCTACTTGCTGCTGCTAACACGCAGTGCTGCGGACGGCAGTGCTTGTGCCGGATATGATAGCAGTAGCTGTGAGCTCATGTCAGTAGTAATGTTTGTAGTGGACCTTGCATCGTTGGTTCTTTGTCCTAGAGACTAACCACCCAGTAGCAGTGGCTTACGAGTACCACTGCCGACAGTAAGGTAACCAGGTCGCGCAGCACCTGGCTCTGTAAATGATTACTATTATCTCTGCCGACATGCTAAGCTTCGGCTGCAGCAAGCTAGCTCTTTTTGTACAACCTCCCGGTTGACTTCGGCCTCAGCTCTCTGGCTACAGGTCTGCCGACGAGCCAGCTGACAGCCAGTCCGGCAGAAAGCAATACAACCGACGGTCGGTTGTTTGCTTCTTTTGTATGGGTTACGATGCTGCAGCGCACTCTGCGCAACTATGACTACAAGTTTCGCTCCCACCTTTACTATTGTTGTTATTACCGAGAGACTGCAGGAACGATGCTTCTTCTACCATTCGCTATGACAAACCTCTTCGATCCTAGCGAGCGTGCAGGCTCCTGCTTACCAAAAGCGGGACGAGAGAAGCTGAAACGGATACCCCTTTCGTGCTTCCTGTCTTTTTTCCTCTCTTCAACTTGGATTGTAGGAGACGCGGGCCTTCCCGATTGCTGTCGTGGCCTCAGCTAGCGCGTTGCATGGTGATCGTTGGTCATTGCGATGGTGGCGGTCCTGGTGAGGCCGTCTTTTTTAGCCGCCTACTACTACTACATCTGCCGTGGCCTCCTCCACGAACGAACAGTGGCCAACCCGCTTACAATGTCTTCTGTTACTGCAGGTGTTTTTAAGGGTGCAGAACTACTGGTTCTATGCTGTGCACGTTGCACCTGCTTGCGCCTTCCGAGATGTTCTCGCTTTCTGTTTGTGCTAGCAAAGGTTGAAAATGGCTGTAGCAGACGGTAAGGACCAGACCTAGCCGGGTTAAACCCTGGCCCATGCTGCAATCCGAGCAGGAACGCTGTAAAGAGATGAACACAGTAGATAAGCGGAACTAAAATGTCAGCCAAAGGGCAAAAGCGTCGAGATAAGGTAGCCGCTAGCACAAAGTATTAAAGAGAAGACGGAAAGGGCTGTAGTTGTCATATACCGGTCACGGTTTTTAAGAATTGTTATGTATGCGGTATGTATAGATGTGCAATAGCAAACAATATGTCGGAATATAGATTTGCTATGAAACGTGTTATATGACAACAAATGTAGACAGAATTAATAGATCTAGCTGTGAATGAATAGTAAGCTACCACTGAGAGGAACAAATGCAATAGGCAAAAGCAGTTATTTGCTCGCAGGTCCGAACGTGTTCAATCAGTATATAGGAGATATGGAAGTGATATAATTTAGCAGAAAATGTAATTCGAATAGGACTTAGCGAGAAGTTAGATTTTTCGAACATTTCTAACCCCTAGAATTGTTAGAATGTCCAGTTGCCGCCACGAAGTGTCTTCCTATAATATCTAGTATTACAATTAACAACAACTACTAGCTCTAAGAACGTTATTGCCATGAATAGGAAAAGGAGTAGAGGCCAATGTCCGCCTCGATTTGCCAAGGGTCCAATAATCGTGGTGACATGATGGAGCCGTAGTGTGTTGTCTGTTTGCCAGATTGGCGCCACAAACGCGAAGGCCTTTAGCTCTGCTAGGAAGGCTTTTGATCCGTAAAGAGTCTAATGCGTCTAGTCTAATGCGTTAAGGATCACTAACTGGTTTGCCTTCAGTTGCTCTTGACTGCTACTGTATATTGAAGGCTGAATAAATTTCAAGGTCAGCCGACCTCGAAGACGGCACTTAGACCTTCTGGATAGCGGCCTTCAGTTACAAAATTCTATTAATCCTACTTGAACAGTACTATGACATTATACTGCAATGGATGCGTATACATATACCAATGTTTTTGATTATAGTAAGTTAATATACATGAACACGTTTAAAAAATTACTGTTAAGGATAACTACACTTTTACCTAATTTGCACTAATTTTCCTACATGCAACCATAGAAATGAGTATAGCTAGCCTAGAAAACGGGAACAAACTTGGCGAACTAAATGGTACTTGGAACTACAGCAAAGAAGTTTACATCGGAGGCGTTATTCCCCACCCTGAAGCTTCGCGCAGTCACCGTGATGCGCGAACCCTGCACTTATGCTGCTGCTACTATTCATCCCATAGGTGCAACGTCGCAACCCTTAGGTCTTAGTCGGCGGCGACAGTACCACGGTTACCGCAGGCGCAGCGATCCTCGACCGTTCCTGCTGCTGCAATCAGGCAACGAACGAGGATAAGTTAATCTTCGTATCTCTCCTTCGTTTCTTACAACGGTGTGGTGATGTCTTTATGTGGATCTTCCAGCGGTAGCTACCATTGATTGCGCCGGCTTTCTTCCGAGACTGAGCTGGGCTGGACAGCAGAGCTAGCGGTCAGCAAAACCTGGTGCATCTGTCCCAATCTAAACAGGGGTCAGGTTGGCACCGGCGAGGATCAGCCGAAATTACATGAGATGTTGGCGAAGCTACCGGAGGCGGTACTGGCGGCGACGTTGATGATAATATCTCTCCCTTTTGGATGCCACAACTCGCCATGCGAGCCCTTCTTGCTCAACCAATCTCTTGGCTCCCATCACGGTCGGGAGAGATTGGAAAAGGAGAGAAAGAACCGTAGTAGAAAAGCGAATCTCAAGTCTGACAGAGTAAATTGAGGGGTTGGGAGACTCGAGGAGAGTGTTAAGGCTGGTCACGGACCGAACGCGTTCCCGAACAACGACAATAACAATATCCATAGTATACCTTAGCGCATTGTAACCACAGTCCTCCTCAGTAACCAGGTTCCATTATATTATGGGCAATGACGTGCCCGTCATGTTGTGTCTGTGTATATATCTCACATCGCTGAAATCGAAAAATAGTATTTCTTTAACGACGGATTTGTTTTAAATTAAGAAAAAAATATGAAATATCCCTAATCTAACTAATAGAATTTACTGCATATGAATGTCCCAAGACGTATACGTATATACATATATAAAGAAGGATAGGTTCCTTTAGTAGACAGGCGAATGAAGTTATTTGAGGCGTGTGTCTTCACGCCGCAGCCTATAGTAAAATGATACATAAGACGAATCGCTGACAAGTCTGTCCAAGAGCATCGCCTAGTGGCTGTATGCAGCTATATCATTAAAACAACACCCCCCGGCGCGAATGAAGCTAGAACAAGTCCCTTTTCTCATATCCCACTTTCACTTCGCCCCTACCTACACGTCGTTCTCCGAATGTCAATCGTGGTAGCAATAACAACAGCGTGCAACAATGACGATTTTACTAGCGCGATGTTTTTGCTTGTGGCTTTCTTCCAACTGGCACTGGCAGCCTGGCGTCTGTCTCTTTATGCGTATCCCTGCGCGTGCTGTGCGAACGGGAAAAAGTGGGCGGCACGAAGCGAGAGGCGGTGGACAGTAGAGGGCTGGGAATCGCGGCGGCCGCGATCCTAGTTAACGCTAGTTATAGTAGAACACGTAGTAATTACGCAAATGGTTACAGGACTCGGTGGCTTCTCCGATCGCGGCTTGCTTAGTCTGTACTTTTCTGTGTCCTTTTGGGCCAGTTACATCCGTTTGTTTCTCACAGCCTTGCAAGGTAAAAGGAAGGGTAGCTGGTAAGATAGGACATCAAGACAAAGACCCAAAGAGACACGTTACCTCTTTTTGTTTCCCTCATGCAACCGGGTGCCCTTTGAAGATCGGTGCCCGTCTACATGGATCATGCGGCAGTGGACCGGCGGTAGTCATCGGGACCTTCGCGAGCCTGTAGGACTGCGTGTCAGCGTGTATATGTGTATGCAGATGTATTGTATGTATGTGATAAACGTAGGAAACAAATAGTGAACCGCATTTGCCTCAGGCCACCCATTCTATGAGACAGGTTTGCCCTTCAACAATATAACCGTACCCTCCTCTTCCTATAGCTTAAGCTTTCCCTCTCTTCCAGTTTAACGTGCTTCGTATTTCTCCTTTCATCATCCAAGCTCCGTTCAACCTTCTCTTATTCTGCTGGCCAACAGTTTAATAATGGATACGAATTTAATACATAATGCACTTATGTGGACTGCTACGCCCCGTGGTTTAAGGCGAAGCCACGGCAACATCTTGGCAGGAGGTCGGCAGCCTAATCTTTTAGGTAGGGTGAAATAGCAGGCCCTTTTAGGCGGACGGAACAATGCCGACCAGATCGACGGTTCAAGTAAACCAGCCCTAGACTAGCTACGGAAGCATGAGGCATACGAGCCATTGAATGCGTGGCAAGGGGTACGAATGAGAGCGGACTACGGGACTAGGCGTAACCAGCGCTCACGAGCTGTTGTCGTAGTTTGCTAATCCATACATAGAAAGCCAATCAGGGTTTCAACAGTCATTCACCAGTGACGCCCCTCTGTACGCCCGAACTTCCGTCATCTCGTTAACTTGTCGGTCGATGAACTAGCGCTGCATCTTAGAACCTCCGAAAAGGCAGGCTAGCGTTTCGCTAAAGCGAGAAGGTGCGATGCAGTGAAGAATGGAGCTCGATGGCGGTACGTGTATAACTGTCTGCGTGTATTCGTATGCAACTACCAGGCGTGTAGCATATCAATGGGAACAGACCGGCGCAGCTCGTTTAACTGCAAATTAATTTATAACCTCCAGCACAGCCTCCGCGCCCTCATTCGTGCATTTTTAGCATCACCATGTGAAGCCCTCGGTACCAAGGTAAGGAATAAAAAAAGTTTCAGCTGATACGACCGCTATTGCTGTGAAGCATCGCTTCAGATGTCCGACTTCTTTCAACACGGAACGAACTGTGTCTATAGCCCAGCTTCGAACCTACACTGCTGTGTTGTAAAACAATAGGGCAAGTTGCTATATGCAAATAGAAGTCGCGCAAGCCTTCGTACATCGAGCGCACGCATTGCCTTCTTGAGCTGATTTTAATTCAACAGATTAATATAACGCGGGCTACTAGAAGCATTTAAGCGGCTTGGCCAACTCTGTTGCGTGCGATAATATTAAATAATTCAGTATAAAACGTGTCACAGTGAAGTCTACGTTTTTACAGGTTTACTTTGTTTGTTTATTTATTTATTTATTTTTGTTAAAGCATGTGTTTTGACTTCATTTGCCACTTGGCTAGCAGCTTACTTGCTTCCGCTACTGTAGAAATTTAGGGTACAAGAGCCTATAATGTACCGAAACTTACAGTTTTAACGTCATATCGATATTTGAATAATTTTCCTATTAATGGTCCTGTTTGTGGGAGCAATATGTAACGAATACGGTAGATGGCAGAGATTTGTAACTGTAGTTCCTGCATCTCCGCCTCCGTTGTCTTTACGGTGTTAGACTGAACGTTCTCTTAAAGCGGGAAAAGGTTTATCTGTATTCACTAATTTAGGCGGTTTAAAAATAAAATTTAAAAAACATAGGAAGTTTTTTCATCATTTTTCCACTTGTTACTAGTACACTTCATCCGTAATTGACGGGTTAAAGCTAACGAACCTGTAGAATGTACTATCTGCGTTAAATTGCTGAAGATACACCGTACGCTTGCACCGATGTAATGTCATAGCAGTTTAGTCACCGATGAGACAATCTGGGATTGTCAGCGACGATTTATTTTTCATCACAAGTTACGATTCGACGTAAAAATGGACCACTACTCTAACGTGAAAGCAGAGAGAAACAAGCGTCTTCATGTATTTGTTTGGACGGTCAGTCAAGTTATGCGCTACCCTTTTACCTTCATTTGACCAAATGTGCTATTTTTACGTACATTGAACTTCAGTGTCAGTATGCAAATATTCTGAGGTGAGTTGGCCTTCACCACAGCTGTCGACTCTTCGTTATTCACCTTTTCCGGCTATCCTTCAAAAGACTCATTTTCAAGCTTAGCATTTTTCCGGACCCAACGGCTCACGGTATCTCTGGTAGTCCAACCTTCACTGAATGGAAGGTTTATATGGCAAGCTGTCTCCACGGCTGTAGTTCTAAGATAGGACTTTCGAATTTTCTGATTTTCATATCCGATTTCCGTAACAGCTCGCTTACCAAAGTCCAAGTATCAGCATCTGTGTGAACAGTCTCTGATTTTCAACAGTGCAGGACAGAGCAAAAGCATCTTCGTTACAAAAGTCTCGCAAACTTTTGCCTACTTATAAAAGAGCGTCATCTTTAAGTATGAGATGAATGCTTAACGTTACTGATGCAATCGCAAGATATCTATGCTTTCAGTGCACCGATTATAACACGACGCTCTTAAAGACTGTTCGCCGCAAAACAGTACTTACAAAGGCTGCAGCCCAACGAGCTGCTGTTGCTACTGAGCTAGGACATATTTTGTAGATTTGACAGAGCGGTCAGATCATTGCATTGAGGTTTTCGCGTTCCTCTCTACTTCGCAATCGTTAAAACGACTGCTAATTGACTACCGAACACAACCACTTGTTTCATATGAACGGAGTGGGACTCACTTCGAATGAAGGTGGCCTATTTCGGTGGGGGTAGTAACAGTAATAGCTGTATGAGTGAACGGCAGCAGCATGAGCTACTGTCGCCGCTGCTTTACTGAATCCAGACTCAATGTCGCTGCATTCTGCTGGCTGGCCGACGGTGCGCGATGCACGGGTGACGCTCAGGCGGTGTGCAGATTCGACGTGAGCGGAATACCGAGCGACTTAACGCGCTAGAAGCGCCAAGACATGCCTACACTCATTGAAGTGCTGGATGTTAGAACAACTTCTCTCATATGTCCTGCCTGGGCTAGTAAGGGGAAGTAACGTGTGGTCTTCAGATCTAAATTTATTGAAGGCTCTACTTCTGAGCTCTGCCCCCTCCCCTGAACCTCCGCCTCACTTGTAACCTTTGTATAATACACTTAAAAATTTCGCCAACACCTTGTCCCTTCTTAATGGACAAGTTTGACTGCTACGAGCATTTCACGCATTTTATACGCATCCACGCCATACAATTAGTTGGGGTTGAAAAACTATATCAATAAACGTATATTTACGTGTAAATGTTTCTATTCATATTTGCATATATAGGTAATTAAATTGAAGGGTCTACCTTCGAGAGAGCTCGGGCTATTATTCTGATAGCTGGTACACTTTAGCTACTTAAAATGGAATACTGAGAAAAATATAGTAATATATTAACATATATTTTGTACAATTGTAAACTCTTGATTGATTCTCGCATGTATTCCTACAGCTAAGCGTACTGAGTAACGAATCACGAAGGAATACTCTCAACCCTAACCTATTTCAAAATGATTGCGTTTTTCAAAACTAACCTCTGTAAAATTGGCATATAGTGTCTCGTCGGTTACCGGACAGACTGCCTGTCCGGTACATGTCATATGTTGCTTTCAACATATTTGGTTACTTTAGAGGCTCGTAGCTGACAATCTTTTTAACAGGGACGCCTAGCAATAATTGTTTCTCTTACATGAATTATAGCTCTGTAGCACCGGGCTAGGGAGGCCGGTGTTTCACTGCTCCGGCAGACAGTTAACAAACCCCACAGGATCTGACGAAGTCGTCAAACCTCAAGTAAATCTCGCAATGTCAGGACTTCATTTATCCGGGTATCTACACACGTCACTTCAGTCCGCTTCACAGCCGTAAAAGTAGCATTAGCAGTCCCTTGAGCTATATGAATAGTCCGCGTCAAGGTCTGATGAACCTGAAAGTAAATTCGGCCCAAATTAAAATTTGACCTATCCTGTTGTACATACCTGCTGATTTTAGTGCTGATAGCTGACTTATTCCGACCTCTTCGGCAGCCATTTAGGTTTTTGGGGCGGCATGGGTCATGAATTCTCAAACTGCGCAAATTAATAATTCAATTTTCGTTTTACATACCTAAACATTAAACTTGAGGTAAAGTTAATCATTTTCTATCTCTTGTATAAAAATAATCGAGGCAATCAAAAGAGTATTGCATAATATCGTATCACCTATATAGAATTCAGACTAAACATATAGCCCGTTCATATGCAGAATATGTTCCTTCTAAGCGCGGAGCTTGAACACTAATCGGAATACAAAACTAAATTATATGTTGGGACATTTGTGTAATGTATAACATAGAATCCCAAATCCTGAAACAAACAATTTTATTTGATGTAAGTATACCAAGTGCACAAAATCTCACGAGGCCGACCTGGATAACCTGGCGATAAGACAACATTTTAGGAGCGACGTTGGCTATATGTCCCTTGGATGTCCTAACATTCTGACGGGGAAACGACCTCACGCGTGAAGGCAGCCACCACACCGTCAGCAGCACGTTTGTCTGACTGCGGCCGAAAGGGAAATGGATAACGGTCAAAAATGGCGGCCAGATGAGGCAGCGCAGCAGCTATGCGGAAACCTTGCAGTTACTACGGTTATATGATACATTAACCCTACAGGCGTAATGTGGCCAGTATAGCGAGAGGGTTAGCTCTCTCCTTCATTGCAGTGTCGGCCAACGATGACGCTGCTGACGCTGACCTGAATGTGGGGCTAGTCCCCACACCCCTCAAGGGGATGTGGCCGAAGGCGGCCAGACGTTTCATCGAGTCCATCATCTCTGTAGCCAGACTACGGTAGACCAACTACCAATGGCGTCTGTTGCCAGCCGGATCACGTCAGTCACGTACCACTCAAAGGGAGCACGGGCCAAATGCTCTTTCAGCCAGACAGACAAGCTAGAGTATGACTCCGGCTTCGACCTCTAGCCTTAATTCCGATGTTTCTTCTTGCCCACACACTCGCTATGTATTGCGCAGTGTATGGTCGTCTGAATTCTACATATTTAAGGTGAACCAAGTAAAGCCTGTTATAGACGTACTCACTTGTTTTGAGTCTGTAGTACTTCTTTTTATAATGTTTTGATCAACTAAGTTTGTTATATAGTCTATTCATTGTTATATAAAACCCAATTACGTATACAACATATGGGCATATCTAATAGACGACGCGGGTCTAGGCATAAGAAAACAGAGAGAAAATACTTAGTTGGGGTCACCGATTTTATTTCATGGCTGACTTGATACCTTTGACGCGTACCGTATGTTATATGTTGTTTGTTTTAGAAGATGCTGTGTCTATATTGAGCCATATTTAAAGATATCTAGCTGGAATATTAACTAGAACAAGAGACATCTGTATTAAATTGGCAGAGACTACAGTGAAGGGTGTTCAGTGTGCGCCTCACGAGAATCGTCCATGACAAGGTTGATACGGAACTCCCAAACGAAACCTCCTACAGAATGTTGCTACGCATCAAGTTACGTCGAAGCGTTTAGCCTTTTGCTAGAGTCTCTTCATGTTAAAATATAGCTACAGAATACTTTTATACATATATGTTTGTAAATGGTACGCGGGAAACATACTGCCACTCATGCACATAAGGAGTATCAAAAAAAACCTAGGAAATATTCAGTCGAGCGTTGTGGCTATCTCAACGAATCGCGCGGAGGGCCATGGATTATACTGTCCAGTGTCCGTATCAAGGAAGGGCATTTTAACGCGATTCCTTCAAAAAACATTCATATGTTTCTATATAACATGTCCTATCTCTGCGTCTGCTAAATTAACGTTGTGTTCTGCTCGCTTTTCGACGTCACTATCTACCTACCTGTGTCCAGCACCTAAGAATTTTGCTTGAGTAATGTAATATATTATTCAAGCAGGATTCTTCAAGATTCAAGTAGGTAGACCTGCCACTTGAAGAACGCTCAGAAATTCGTCCTTTGCGCGCAGGTTTCTTTCCGACAAAAAAGAGGCCTTTTACCTTATCCGCTGCCATTGTCGCTGCGGCTTGAAGGTGCAAAGGTGATAGTGGCTGTGATAACTGCGACCGAGAAATAAAACTCGACTAATGTTAAACTCTTATGTAGATGGTTGGAGATTGACGGGTACGATAGTATGTTACTGTCAGCTCTGAAGGTTAAGGGCGTGGACACACAGACCCAGTATAATAGAGAGGAGAAAAGCGAAGGGATTCGAGGAGCTACCTCGCAGGCAGTGGCGTATGAGTCCAATTATTGAAGCACTGCGCCAGCTGGACGTTTTGCGAACTTAGGAATTTCGCATAGAATTTTTCGCCAGTGGTAGAAACTTGGTCAACCGAAAACATTGCCTAATCTAAACCCTTCGGCTAAATTAGGTTAATATCATAAGAAGCGCATGCGTACAGCACGTTAGGGGGGTAATAATCGAACACGGACTACTCCCAGTTATGTACACTTGCATAATATGTAAATAGATCTCTATAGTGGAAGGTAATGAGAATGAAATGTTGAAAATCAGCCTGTGAACATTGATACCCCTTTCTGGATAGACATCATCCGAACTTTTGAAGCACCAATAGCGTAAGTTATTCATAATAGATTCAATTTAATCTAGCCACCGGTTAGTTTATAATCGGAAATACGCACTGGTCATTATAGAGATGTATTATAATTGAGCGGGCTTTGACGACAAGCGTCGAAAGGAAACATTTATGTGCATGACTTCTTTGTCTAGGTAAGTGAAGTCACAGGTGTCCAAGAAGTTTAAGAATTAGAAGACGTTTCCACCCGTGAAAGTGAAGTTCTTATCATTCTTCTAATGCTTCAAGGGGTTATGTCGCCATCGCTTCATATTGATCCATTTTTGGTAACTCCGGCTAGCAAGAAGCTCGTTTCGTATTAGATGGTTAATGCGGGACGTTGCTCCATTCCATATGCACGGTATAAACAAGATTACTATACGCCATACTAGAGTATTTACTCTAAATTATTTGATCCAGGTCATGCTGTTCCCTAACAGATCCAGAGTCCCTAGCCAGCATTAGTAGTTGTTCCAATTAAATAAACGGCCTCTCTTACGCTCTTCCCTTCAAGGTTGAACCTCCAAGGAAATGCTTACATAATTTACTTCATTAAGGGGAGCTGCAAGAGCGGTTCATAATCATTTGTACGCGATGGAGGATCTTCATCTGCGTGGTGACCTTCCCAGGCTGGCCACCTCCTGTTCTCTTCTTTTTTTCAACCGTTATTTGGCTTTAGAATAGAGAACAAATCCTGACCCGGCCATTTCGACACATAGTGTCCCATTTTTTTTTTTTTTTTTTTTAAGAAAAACGCATAGTTTTTCGTTTTTATCCGGCGAGTCCCTTTGTGTTCCATATTTTCTTTAGGAAATTCGCCACTACTACTATTACTAATTATAATAATCCAGTATATTATTTCTTATCGATATTCTAGACAAGACGTATTCACCTTTTTTTCTTTCGGAATTAAATTAATACAAAAACAGTGTATTTCAAAACATGTTTCAAAACAAGGTACATATGTAGACTCGCAGCCATTCCATAACATGAGAACAAATATGCCTTTCTAATTTTTTTTTAGCCCCCATTTCCCATTTTCAAGTAAATTCAAATTGTATAGACCAATCATTAGATTAGTTATCCGAGCAAAATGCAATCAGTTCCAACTAACGATTTTTTTTCAGCCCTTTTCAATAAACGCTTAAATAACCTGTCTACCCATCATAGATTGTTCTCAAACTGTTAACAATCACAATGCCCAGGTTGTCTACCCCTTGGCCAAACACACGCCATGTAGAAAAATTGCACTATGGCACCACTTTCCGAAGCACGAACCACCAATCAGCCTGACCATTCAATTTAGTGTACCTCAAACGAATACGCATGGAGTCCTCGAACAAACTGAAACAGAGACCATAAACAGCCCTCGATCGTCGAGGCGGCATAACAGAGGGGCATTCTTGGAGATGAGCAGTTGCATTATCTTTAGGGCAGCAATGGATAGCGTGCGTAATGGTTGTGTTCCCGTTTTGGTAGTCTTATCGTGTGCAAGCAAACGAAAACCAGCAGCACAGGGAACCCGGCGGCAGGTGCCGGCATGTAGCTGTCTGACCGTTGCGGCAGCGCTTGAGGTGGTCGTAGTAATTGATGTACCAGAAGAAGCAGTAAACGATGACAGTGTATAGCGGCGGGACTGGTGTATGCGATTGTCGAGAAATGGTGAAAGAGCACTCCCATTCGGAAGCATCGATTTGAAAGAGAGAAAGTGATTGAGAGTGAATACAGAAAAAAGAAACAGCCAAGGTTTGACCCGCCACATGGAACCAGGGCATCGAGTAGAGGATAGAACTATTTCCTTTTACTCTGTTCCCCCGTGTGTGTCCAGGCTCCTCTAAGACAAAAGAGAAAATCGGTGGGCTATCGGCAAAAGAGCGGCTTACAAATTGCGCGGCGTTCCTCTGTACTCGTCCAGCACAAACCGAACAGAGGGATCTTATGATTGCTAGCGCCGGCCGCAGATACGTTCGAACGGCGCTCAGCCATCCCTGTCCTCTCATGCTGACAAAACAAACAGATATCCGCGCACTCAAGCGCCTGAGTATCTATTTACGACAAGAAACTCATATATACAAACGGACGTTCTTTAGCAGTTCATTCGATTGTCTCATAGCTTTATTGCTTCGCTCATTAAATTCTATGTCAGACACTCGACCTTCCACTAGAGTGTACCTTTCATTTATTTTAAAACTTTCTTTGTCTATAGACGGGATAACTATAGAAGATGACTAGTAATTCCATTAAATTGATCAAAAATGACAATGACGACTTACGTTTTGAAATAAAAAAAAACTCGAACATAAAGAAGAATGGGTAATAAGTATGAAAAAAATAGTTAGAACAACAAATACGTTCGAGCCAATAGCGACAACAATAGGCACCTGTAAAGGCGAGAGATGCTGGCTCATCTAAGGGCTAGCTTGGTGGAACACGTCAGTTAAGTCAACATGAACCCAAGTATGGTTCCTCTACGCAGTGTTCGTTCGATGTTGCCTTAATGCAGATTTCTAAATTTGAGCACATCTGCATTTTCTGGTCTATAGGATGAACTGAAGCGCACTGCCATTGGACAGAAGATACGGCAGGGTCTTAAACTACAAGAAAAGCCGAGTTCGACGATTGTAAGAAGGCCGGCAACGGAATAAGTCGACAGCCGGCAGTCTCTGTTGCCATCGTTATCATCGCTGTTGGGTACATGTCCAGTTGTCGCTGAACGAAACGTCATAGAAAAGTATCTTGGCTGATTTTTCCCGCACGTTATCGAAAAATGGCCCTATCGGGGGGCTCAAACGGGGAGGCCTAGACGGTTTCTAAGGAAGGCTGGACGGGCCTAGTAAGTAGGCCTGGGGTAAAATCTAGCTATTGAAAATGAGCTTCGTAAGGAAGACTATTACCAAGAAGTGAGGAACAGAATCCCCAACGCGCTCAATAGCCACGGAAGAAGGCTAGAGAACTGAAACCTCGAACGGAGAAGCAGACGAGAGGTACGGGAGTTCCCAGAGATAGACGCAGGAAATTGACAGAGGGAAACCAGGATAAGTCCTTTTAAAGGGCCGCCAACTCATCACGGTCCCGACGGGAAGTGAAAGTAGTGAAGAGGAAGAGGCTCTTTGGTTTCACGAGCGCCCACCATCATAATGGTTTAAGACGGACGCATAGTACCAGGTTTGGCACGCCGCCTGTCTTTGCGCGTCCTCTTTTCATACGAGTAAGTGGTAGTAGCAATATATGGGGTCGCTTAGCCTTCATGAGCGCACCGACGTCTAACGTCCTAGCCTTTATACTCGCTCTTTCACGCGCCTCGTGCCTCAACTCCTGTAACCCCTGACCAACCAGGGACGCCCGAGAACGAACGCATGAAACCGAGTTCTAACAGCGGATCGCACACTCTACACTTCCCAACGTTTGGCCCTCAACCCTGCTCTAGTCTTCTTACTCTTTATTGCATTCTCGTACTTATTCTTCTCTTTACCTATTTAACGGCCGTAATACACGCCGTGCTCATTATACGCTGACTATATATATATATATATATATATATATATATAGGAGTGACATCCATGTGATTAGATACGACTATACGAGCCATTCGGACCACAATTCGAAGCACTGGTCCTGCCCTTCTCTATGATTCTTTACCGTGCCTATTAGACCCCACTTCTTATCCGGCTTTCTCACTCGCGATTTCTCCTCTGATGCTTAAATAATATTTAATCCCCTGTCGATTCAGCAGTAGCGTTTTATACTATAATAGTTGCAGTAGCAGCGCGTCGTGGCACGAGCAGCAGCATCTGCCGCAGACGTCTCACTCAACACATAAATGCCAATGGTTGTCGGTACGCCAACCGGTCAGACTAGGAGGACAATAAGGACCAGAGATATCTTGTTTGCGGACAAAGGCGAAGAAGCAGGCATGCAGCCTTTCCCTAGGGAGCCATTTTGTCTCGCTAGCGCAACCGCGCATCAAAGTTACCGCCAGTTGTTGTGGATGCGGATGGTGGTAGTTCTGTGTAGGGATAATTCAGATATGGGTAACCATGAGCCCTGGCTCGCTCGCAGGGCACGGCTATGAAACCGTCAGCCACGGACGCTGACTCGGCCGGAGGCAATGGGGGTAACCAGATTCAGGTGCGGAGTGTATGATAGCGCCGGTATATACATATATAGAGAGAGGAGGTATGAACTATGGACGACTCCTGGATGGGGGCTGCACAGGCTGCGAATGGCAAGACAGTGGTCGCACTATACATAGAGCAGGGGCATTTGTAGTGGTACTATTGCCCGCTGGCAGTAGTAGTACTGATGGTGGTGGTTGTGCCCAGTGGTTGCCGGTGGACTTAGCCATAAATTAGGCATAAACCTCATCGTACGACACTCTGGGGAAGCGTTGACTTGATCACTACGACCGAGAGAGCAAGCTGCACTCTCATGGCTGCAGACGCAACGAGCTAAGCAATGGATGCTGCAAACGAACACAACCACAGATGAAACCACCACTAGCGCCACCGCAAAGAAGACGGAGCTAACGGACGTTCCAGGAGCCCTGGGTGATCCGTTTTCCAGCAGAAGTGTTGGTTCGCAGGTTGATTTCCAGTTGGCTAATGATAGGCTTTTCAGATCCGTTGTAGGTGCGTTTTCGATCTTTTCTGCTGAGTGGTGCAAAATCGACGCTAATCATTCTTAGCTCAAGTTTAATTTAGATTGCTATTAAATGGTTTGTTTTACCATATCCGCCTTATGATAAGACGCGATGTTAGTTGGAGAATATTTGTATGTGCGTTACCGTAGGGCCGCACGATATGACACAACGTATAATGAAGTATATAAAAGTATATAATGAAGAGTATAAAAAAATGCATATAGGACCAGATTACTGTATAAGGCGTTCTTCAAACGGTTGACCCCAAAACGCCAGCTCTCAAAAATCTGTCCCTTAACAAGGTCGCTTTTATCTGCATAGGGCAGTCAGCTCTAATACAGCAATCATGAGACAGAAACGATATGCTTCGCAAAGTCAGGATACTAGGCGGAACTGCTAGGTACTGAGAAGCCAACCTTGGCACGTCTTTTCTAGCCTCTTTTGCCGAACACGGCGTCTTCATCCGCTCTAGCCACTTGAAGGCCGCACTGCCGAAATCCCATATGCCCCAAGATCATTTCCATCCATACAATCCGCTGCCTAAGTTACCGATCTCCTTGCGGCCAAACGACGCTGTGGCGTGCTTCACGGCCATTTAAACTACTCGCTCATATGCCCGTCTGCGTTCGAGGGGGGTTGGCAATTTGTTATCGAGGAATATATAATAATTGATATTTACTTAACCACTGGTACCCCATGTCGTTCGAGTTACTCGACTAAGCTTGTGCGTGCGTTTACGTACGTTGCTTTGTACATTTTACTATAGGCAGACAGCCAGTCTGCCATGAGTGCGCATGTTTAGTTGTCCCTCTGGCTGTGCGCTTTGTTTTCGATTACGATCGATGTATTATAACGATGTTGTAAATGTTTGCTTCTCCCGATCGAATGTGATCCGCGCTCTGGCACTTGAGAGGCAGAGCTCTCTAACTGTACCATAGGTTTCATAACTAAGGAAGACACGAAAATGGTTTAGCGAAGCACCGTCTGCTGCTTCAGGACACACCATCGGCATCAATGCAGATAAAATCCGGCATGTACAAGTAAACGTACAAACGTAATAGGTACAGCGAATAAACGACCGCAAACGTACTGGCAGTGTGGCCAGCAGTGCTCTATGCTTTGACGAATCTCATGGGAATTTGCTGATGCGGTTGAACATCTATTTTCTTATTGAATGTACCCAAGGAATACTCGGCCAAGATAAGTGGTCATAATCAACTACTTGTGGTAACACCGCACGATACATGAAAATGCTGGGAGGCAAGTATCTGTTTATGGCTATGTCTATAGCGAAAGCTTCGTAAATGATACAAGGACCCCTTTTTTCCTTACTGGACACATACTTTAGGACATCAATAATATCATCACAAATACCAAAGGACCCAGAATCGACTCAGAATTGTTAGAGTTTGTGCAAAATTTACAATGTTTTTCAGGTTATAACGCACTAGCTACTGTAATACCTGTGGAAAACTCAGCCGTTTCTTAGTCTACCTTTTGGCCTTCATGGCCTCTTCTGAAACGAAGGTGCCTAATTAAATTCACCCATTTAAACGCCACTTGGACGCTCTGGGATAGTCCGTACTTCAGCGGTTTCTTACCCTCGTCTCGAGAGCAGGAATGGGGACCGTCATTGACGAGTGACCATTGAGTTGATTTGCCATCAACCTCTCGAGGCACAAAGGCACGGGCGAGTAAGTTTTTCCGCCACATTACCGCCAGCCGACCGATGTCACCTTTTCTTGGAAGATTTTATTTGCTTACTAAATCAGTGTAACTGCAGAACGGCTACCACAGCTTTATCATCATTTTGCAGTAGCTATTTCGCTGTTAATGGCGACTCTTCCTTTTCTTGTTGCTGTAAAAATTCGCTGAAAAACAAAAACAAACTTATTGTTTCTCCGGCTATTACGCGGTAAACGCTTAGTGGAAACAGAGCATGCCAAATATGAGATTATGAAGGCCAGTACTTCCTACACGTAAGCGACACCGGATAGTACTAAGTAGACATGGACTATTGAAATACACAAGAAGTACGCCAGCGGTATCTCACGCATATCCAACTCTTTCCTCTTTCGTATTGCTGTCGTGCAGTGTTTGGATGTAGCCACATATATTCAACTAACGTGTGCATCCTCGGGGCGGGAACGCTATTCTAAACGTTCACCCGTTCGTCAGCCGCCATATCAGCTAGATCGCTTGCACTTCACTCTATCCAAATCTAAACGTGTTTTCGCTTTAAACAAGTTTCACAAGAAGTCCTCGTCAAACAAAGTCTCTGTTACCCCAAATGCTTTCTGTACACTTATTGAACCCCTGCTAGTTCTCACCAGGGTTTTCCCGGACCGACCGTAACTCTCGTTTTCCTTCGTTTTTCTTCTCTCGCGTTTATATTCTATCATTCCCCAAGTTGCTGGCAAGGGAACGAACGGTTCAGTTGGTCGGCGAAACGCCTGTGCAGCTGCTCCTCCTTCACTACAGCCCGAAGGATGGGGCAGATGTCGACAAGACGGAAGCCCACTGAGCGGCAACCGGAAAGTCCGGTTGGTTCTGTGGGTAGGGCAAAAGGGAATATATTAGCATCGAAGAGGAACGTACACAACCAGGAGATCAGAGAAGGAAACTAGTAACCGTTACCGGTTCACTTGCTCACAGATATACGCATACACACACAAGCGTGCTCGATTTATCTCTCTCCCCTGACTTCTCCGTGCTTTCTCGCTTTCGCTCGCGGTGCACCCATTCTCCTTTGACTTGAATTGGGGGTAGGAAGAATGCTAAAATGCTGGGTTTCCAAACAAGGTAAACGGTTCGCCTTCCCGATGGTTCCATAGGCGTTCACCGGTTTCCATCTAGCGAGGCTCACGACCCGCTTGCGCCCTGTGCCTCAGGATCCTCATTTCTCCATGTCAGCGCTCCGCTTCAGCTCCATTGGAAATAGCAGGGGTGCACCCCAAACGCTGATACGCAATGTGCGGAACCTTTACTTTCCTGTGCGCGAGTAGGCACAGTGCCTTTTGTTTGGTAGGTAGCCCGAACAGGCCCTATAGAGCAGAGTGTGTGGCCCGATGGAACTGAAGCTGTAAGTCTATGTAGTCCCGTTAGATCCTTTTGCCTGTCATGAAGCTCGGCGGCAGGTATGGGGGCACACACAACAACCTCAGCCGACGTTGCCATCAAGAATAACAACGGCGGGGCCGAACGCGACGATATGCATAAAGCCTACAAAGAGAACGATGTCGTAATGAATGGCGGTAACGCCACGAGGGGGAACGCAGCCTTCTTTACTCACTGCCTTACGCAAAATCTACAGCAAGCCTGACTATTCTTGCAGCTATTGCGACAAATAAGTGAGCTAAGACATCCCAGCAAAACGTCAGGGGGACACAGAAAGTGAGGACAACGAAGAAGAAAATAAGTTAATGATCTCGATCAGAAGGTTATATTTAGCCGTAGATGTCGCCTACTAAAGGATGCAAACCATAAAACGCATGTACTTTTTACCACTGTGAGATATTTCCGACCAGAAAAGCAGCCAAAACGTCTAACGTCTTCTTGAACCACTACAATTTTGACACGTTCCTCTGTGAAGTGCACTTAATCCGTAAAATTTATTATTAAAATCTGTAAAATTTAAATGTGATAATTATTGTACGATAGGTGCACTAAGTTCAGCTAGTTTACACGTCCGTACTCTAGAATTGCATATTGCCCCTGAGCGTCCTGTGGTTATATATGCCGACCGTCGTCCTGATTGGGAAGATCTTAGATAAAACGGAGGCTTCGCTCTATATGCTGCGTAAAGTACATATTTTTAGTTAATTAATTAGTCCGAAATCGGTGTGAATACATCATAGCTAGCTCTGAATAGCACAATTGTGACCTAATTTAAGGCTCACAAATGTATTCTGTAGCTGTAAAGCTCAACAGGCAAATTCACTCAGAGTGAATCGATGGGTAACCCTTCGATAAAGTGCGATATTTCTCCACTTTGCTCGGGGAGGCTTCTGCACTTAGCGCCACTTATTAAGAGGCAATGGTAACAAAATAAGTGTAAGGTTCGATTTTTCGTTTCTATTCCAGCGTGCAAGCACGACAGATACGAGAGAATCTATAATGTTACCACTGCTCTATCGATGAGACAATACGACTTTTCTAGTCATAGATGGTTAGCAGCATTGACCAACAGCATAAATACGTTACGTTACGTTACCCTAGAGTATTATCGAAGGTATGAATGATCAGCGAACAGTATTCTGCACACAATCGAGATGACATTACACGATAAATCATGGTCGTTCCTGCCACTATCGTAACCAGTAGGTAATTGAGCATGTGGTTGGCATACATATGCAAACAAGATATCGACCCAGTGGGTTTGGTTATTGGAAACGAGAAGTAGACCAGTTGCAACAAACTGAGCTAAAAATACGTCTGATACCATCATTGGAATAGTGGCAGAGTTAATACACCTGCCGTTGGACGGACAAACGAGCGAGCAAGCGGGCGTGCCTACGTGTGGTTGCCTCTCGCCGGGAGTAAACGATGGTTAGTACTGTTGCATCAAATAGATTCCAACCTGACTCGGTCTGAGAGAGGGAAGGAAACATAGAAAAAGGGAGAGAGCCAAATAAAATTACTCAGCGGTGTTAGCAGCGGCTACAAGGAGGAAGTTCGCCAACGATAGCCAACGTGTAAATGGCACGATGTTCAAGAGGCCGATTTAGATAATTATAGTAATGAAATTTTTAGACATATTTCCTTTAAATGTGAACTGCACAAGAGACAAATTGTTTAGCATTTTCAATCGTATAATTACCGAGGTACGTAACCCACACTGAAACACGATTTTCGTCCTTTGCAGTAGCGAAGATGGTCCACCAGGGTCGTAAGTGATCACACAGATTGCTGCGCCATTTCCGAAGACGTATTTCGAAAGTTTTCGTATTACGCATAGATTGACTTTTTCCAAAGTAGAATTTATTCCATATACATTGAAAACAATAGAATATCTATAAAGTTACGCAGAAGATCGGATCAGAGCTCAAGGGAAGGGGAACAGTTCGTTCGGCGATTTTACCCTATAACGAATAACTCACTACCCACTTATTCGAAGTTGTCGTCTGAAATTCAGTTACGCGCTACTCCTCTCGCTCGTTCAATAAAGGTGGACCACCAACAGCCACATGTGTATCCTGCAAAAAACGGTGAACCGCCGACGAGGCGAGCGCGAACCAACTTCTTCCTTATCATATGGTTAGTCGACGATGGACGCTAGCGCTTCCCCACGAGAAGACTCGGCGGTTAGGGCAGTAAAGAACGAGGCTGGAGAAAAAAGAAGAGGAAGGGCAGAGAAAGGGGCACGGGAGGAAGGAAGGGGAAGAGAGGTAAGATACTCGCCTGCGAGCAGTGTCGGCTGCTGATCTCGTAGAGCTAGCGAAGCAACGGAAGAACCGCCGGTCGTTGCTTCCGTCGAAGCATAATTGTTGTTGTTTCTCTTTACGCTCTGCTTACCGGGAACAGGCTGGGGCTGGTGGGGTCAATGGACGCAGTGGCAAGGCAAAGCGAGTGAGGAACTGGGATGTTTAATAAACGCATTGAAAAACTTGTCTTGCCGCCGCTGCTTGTGGAGGGCCATGGGACACTGTACAGGAGGCAGCTGGAAATGGGAATGGAAAAACAAAAGAGGAGGTAATACAAGAAAAGAAACTACATCAGGAGATACGCGAGAGTGTGTGAGGCAAGCAGGCAGTCAGGCAGTACAACAGGTCGCAAAGTCTAGAGGAATACGAAGCCCAGGGTGGAGGGAGGAACAAACCGAGACGAGAGAAAGACAAGTTGAGAGAAAGAGAGAGGGGAATGGTTGTCGAGAATTTCACCCCTTGGTCGGTCCAGTCATCTCTCGAAGCGTGCCGCTGATGAAGCTATAGCCGCACCGCCGCCGTCGGGCGTTCCAACACCGTTCGAGGGTGCCATTGCTCGTGGTTCAGTGTCCGCACATTGCTGTTATTTTGCTCTTGCTTTCCGGTGATTGCGTGCTGATGGGGGGGGAGTACTAGCACTAGTAGTAGTAGTAGTAGTAGTATTAGTAATAGTAGTAGTAGTAGTAGTAGTAGTAGTAGTAGTAGTAGTAGTAGTAGTAGTAGTAGTAGAGTATAGTAGTAGTAGTAGTAGTAGTAGTAGTAGTAGTAGTACTAGTAGTAGTAGTAGTAGTAGTAGTAGTAGTAGTAGTAGTAGTAGTAGTAGTAGTAGTAGTAGTAGTAGTAGTAGTAGTAGTAGTAGTAGTAGTAGTAGTAGTAGTAGTAGTAGTAGTAGTAGTAGTAGTAGTATATAGTAGTAGTAGTAGTAGTAGTAGTAGTAGTAGTAGTAGTAGTAGTAGTAGTAGTAGTAGTAGTAGTAGTAGTAGTAGAAGTAGTAGTAGTAGTAGCAGTAGTAGTAGTAGTAGTACTGGTAGTAGTAGTAGTAGTAGTAACAAAGCTGTTAGCAGGTGGCGAAGGGAACACAAAAGAACTTGAGCGAATGATTCCTTCCTTTTGCGCAAAAAGTTGTAGGTGCTGTAACGGCAGCTGTTATTGGCACGGTAGTATAGGGCTCTAGACCGTCGTCGTTTATAAGTAAGCAAAAATTAATAATTTTCTCAGGCGAAAAACACCACCGTTTCCGTTTCATTAAAAGTGCCGGCTCGTGCTTCACTTACCTGCTCTGCTCTTTAGCTGGACCTTCGTGACATTTTTCCCAGCTTGGCCTTTTCTGTTTCTCTCTGGCGCGCTACTGAGCCCTTCCTTTCAAATCTCTTCTCCTCATGCTTCAGATTCAAACCGCCGTCCCGCTTGTATCCTACTCACATCTCCTGTCTTTAAAAG